GGCCATGTAGCCCGCATGCCCAGCCACCGCATGCCAAAACAGCTTTTGTTCGGCCGGATCGAGGGGGCTAAACGGGCGCGGCACGGGCTGGAGAAGAGATGGAGTGATGTGGTACAGGAGGACGTGGAGCTGAGTGGACTTGCCGATGACTGGTACCAGCGGTGTCAAGATCGGCCTCTGTGGAGGAGGCTCGTGAAGGACGCTACGGGGCAGTTGGAGGCAGTCGCCCTCCAACAACAACGGAGGGCGGAGGAGCGACGCTCAAAACAACGAACGGAGCGCCGGGTGGCTAAAGCACAGCAGGTTGGCACAGTAGGGGGCACAGGTGGTGCACCAGCCAGTCATCTCAGTCAGTCGACCCGCGGCACCTGGGTCTGCCCCGTGACCTCCTGCCCGCGGGCGTTTGACACTAAACGTGGCCTCAAGGTGCAAATGGCCTGGCACAAGCGTCGTGGTGACGTGGCCGCCACTTAGTGGCGAATGGCGGTTGTTGTTGCCTGTGTGCCTGTTTGTGTGCCTGTGTGTGTGTGCCTGTGTGCCTGTGTGTGTGCCTGTGTGTGCCTGTATGTGTGTGCCTGTGTGTGTGTGCCTGTGTGCCTGTGTGTCTGTGTGTGTGCCTGTGTGTGTGTGCCTGTGTGTGCCTGTGTGCGGCATCACAACCCCCTACCTCCTCGCGGTGCCGGACGGGCAACGCTGTCGTGGACAGTGCTATGGGGGGGAAAACCAGTTCCTTTTGGCTTCTCCCGTCATGGAGTCTGTGACCACCACAGTGGCTAAATGGGGGCTCTGGACAGGTGCAAAGGGCTGGTAACCCCTCCACCTTCAATTAATTACCACTAAACCACGACTAAAATATCTAACTAATAAGCTTGTGCCGGAGGCCCCGGGGGGACATGCATCTATGATGTCTCCTGGCCAAACCCCAATTGGCGGAGCCAGGAGATTGAATCTTTACCCTTGGGGCTCCTCCAGAAACAACGAAAAGCCACTACGGATGGCCACGTGGAATGTTCGAACGCTCACTGCGGAGGAGAGGCTGTCACTTTTCTGTCGGGAGCTGGACTGGTACCGCCTGGATCTCTGTGGCATTCAGGAGGTCCGGTGGACCGGCTCTGGCTCCTGCCACCATGAGGGGTGGACAGTCCTCTACTCGGGGCAGCAGACTGCCAAACAACAGGGTGTGGCTCTCCTTCTGAACAAAAGAATGAAGGGGGCGTGGAAGCGTGGCGGTGAGGTGTGGGAAGCTGTAAGCCCTAGGCTACTTTGGGCTCGCCTTCACATGAACCGGAGGCGAAGAGTGGTGGTCGTGGTTACTTATGCCCCCACCGAAGACGAACATCCGTGGAGGGATGCAGGCAAGGCCGATGAGTCAGATGCATTCTATGACCTCCTGGCACAGGTGCTGGCTAAAGTGCCCCCTCAGGATAGAGTCATCTTGTTGGGTGACTTCAATGCCCGAGTTGGTCATGATGCTGGCACCTGGTCAGGAGTGATTGGGGGCCAGATCAGCTCAATAACAACGGTAGGAGGCTTTTAGATTTTTGTGCAGCCCATGGGCTCATAATTACCAATACGTTGTTACGGCATCGGCGCATCCACACAACATCATGGATGCATGCCGGGTCCAAGCCAGAACATCTGCTGGACTACATAGTGACGGACGAGCCTGTCCTTGACACCAGGACCTACCGTGGAGCTGATCTGCCCTCTGACGATCGACTAGTCATCTGTAAGATGCATCTGCAGTTATTTCACTCCGGTGGTGGGTGTACACCCAGGACCCCATTCCCACCTAAGGTGGCCTGGTCTCAGCTAGCTGATGAAAGTTACAAGTGATAATTTAATCATCGCTTGCTGCTGGGGTTGGCATCGTCCCCCACTCCTCCTCATGTCGAGGGTAAATGGTCGAGGTTTAGGACTGTGACTCATGCAGCTGCAATGGCTGCTTTGGGTACGCGGTTCAGACCTCCCCAGAGACCCTTGCTGACAGAAGATGTGTTTAGGATGGTTGAGAAAAAGCGACAGGCCCACTCTAATCGTCTACAGAAACCCACGTCAGGGAATTAGGAGGCTTACCGCAGCCTTCGCTCGGAGGTTCGGAGAGTCGTAAGGCACTGCAAGGATGGGTGGTGGTCTCGGGTTTCTGAGGCCCGTTATCACAAATCCCTATTTAACTCCATCAAATAAGTAACCTGCAGTGCCACACCTATTACCATCATTAGGGGAAAACATGGCAATCCAATCTCCGACCCCCAGGAACAGGTTTGCAGATTTGCTGAGCATTTCTGTGAGGTCCTGGGGGAGGGGAAATCCCTCAACCAGGAAAAGATCGTGGCACAAAGTGGGGATGACCCTGCTAAGGCTGCGGTGCGTCAAATATTGGAGGAGGACATCACCCTCTGTGAATGGCTGGTTGAGGTGCCATCTGTTGAGGAAGTACTGAAGGCAATCCGGAGTCTGAGACCAGGAAAGGCACCGGGCAGAGATGATCTACCAAGCAAAATGCTAAGGGAGGGTGGCGTTTGTGAGCAGACTGCCCTACATGACATCATAACAACAGTCTGGACAACTGGACGGGTTCCGCAGGATTGGAAGGATGTCCTGGTGGGCCCCCTCTTTAAGAAGGGGGACTGCACAGACTGTAACAACTACCGGGACATCTCACTCCTCAGTGTGCCGGGAAAGGTCCTGGCAAAGATTATTCAATATCGCCTTGCTAGGCACGCTGAGGAGAGGCTTGCGGAGCCCTAATGCGGTTTCAGGGAAGGGCGGTCCTGCACAGATGCCATATTTTCTGTCCGTCTGCTACAGCAGAGGTGTTGGGAATTCCTACAAAACCTACATCTCTGCTTTATTGACCTGGTCAAGGCCTATGATACCATCAGTAGGCCTGGCCTCTGGGTTGTTCTTCGGGCTTTTGGAGTCCCTGACCCTCTGCTCACGATCATTAAGGAGCTTCATGATGGTGAGCTGGCCCAGGTAAAACTACGTGGCCGGGAGTCAGAGGAATTTCCTGTACACCTTGGGGTGCGACAGGGATGTCCTCTGGCTCCCACATTATGTAACTTCTATTTTGACCACGTGGTTCGTGAAGCCATTATCTCTGTACCATTTGGTACAGATATAATGGGAGGCTGATCGATGCCCCGGTGCGGTCAAGGGATGGCTACCTATTGCTCAACCATGTTATGTATGCCGATGATTTGGTAATTGCTGCTCATTCAGAGGAGGAGTTGGAGACGCTGCTGCTGAAACTGGAGCGTGTCACTAAGAGGTGGGGCCTTACCATCAGCCCCACCAAAACTAAGCACCTGCCTGGGTATTTTGTACCATCGGACACTCCATCCCCACAACTCCCAATCGGTGATGGGGCAGTTGTGGAGAGAGTGGAGAGTTTCTCATACCTCGGCAGTGTGCTCATGACCGGCTCCGGTTAAACAGCAGAGGTCTCACTCCTAATCAGTCGAGCGGCAATATATTTTCATCGGTTGTGTAACGCTGTGTGTAAGCTACCTGGTCTGTCGCTCCGCATGAAGCTTCAGGTCTTCTCGGCCACGGTCATTCCCTCCCTTCTCTACGCTTGCGAAACATGGACCCCCCTAATGGAGCATCTTCGCCAGTTAGAAAAATTTAGGCTGGCCTGACTACGCTCTATCCTGGGTTTAACCAGGCTGGATTGTGTGAGGAGCTCACAAATCCTTGAAAAATCTGGGCAAAGTCCCATCGGTGAGCTCCTCCGGCAGGCAAGGCTGCGTTGGCTGGGTCATGTAGCCTGCATGCCCAGCCACCGCATGCCTAAACAGCTTTCGTTGGGCCGGATTGAGGGGGCTAAGCGGGCGCGGCATGGGCTAGAGAAGAGATGGAGTGATGTGCTACAGGAGGACGTGGAGCTGAGTGGACTTGCCGATGACTGGTACCAGCGGTGTAAAGATCGGCCTCTGTGGAGGAGGCTCGTGAAAGACGCTACTGGGCAGTTGGAGGCAGTCGCCCTCCAACAACAATGGAGGGCGGAGGAGCGATGCTCACAACAACGAGCGGAGCCCCGCGTCAGCCAGCCATCTCGGTCATCTCAGTCAGTCGACCCGTGGCACCTGGGTCTGCCCCGTGACCTCCTGCCAGCGGGCGTTTGACACTTCACGTGGCCTTAAGGTGCACATGGCCTGGCACAAGCGTCGTGGTGACGTCATCACCACTTAGTGGCAAATGGCGGTTGTTGTTGTGTGCCTGTGCCTTTGTGTGTGTGCCTGTGTGAGTGTGTGCCTGTGAGAAGTGGTAGTGTAGTTGTTAGCGCTACGCTGCGCTACAAACCTGGCGACCCGAGTTCGATTCCCGCTCACGGCCGACACCAGCAGTGACGTTGATCTGAACCTGTTCTGGGCCTCTCCTAGGTCGACTCAGTCTTAATGAGTACCTGCTGCTGTGCTTAAAAAATGTCGCCATTCGGGAGGCAAAGGCTGCCGGGCGTGGTGCTGGCCTCCATAGGTGCTCGCAAACAGCACTTGCCCCAACAATCTGTTAAGGCTATACAGAGGATCTTTGTCTTTGTGTATGAGTGTGTGTGCCTGTGTGCGTTTGCGTTTCTGCGTCTTTGCGACTGTTGTTCACCGGAGCCAGGAGGCTGAACGCACCAATTCGTCAATCCGTCCGTCTATCTCTCTGGCAAAATCATCGTTCGCCCGTCTGTTGAATGTCTCTGTCCGCGTGTCTCTGTCCGCGTGTCTCTGTCCGCGTGTCTCTGTCCGCGTGTCTCTGTCCGCGTGTCTCTGTCCGCGTGTCTCTGTCCGCGTGTCTCTGTCCGCGTGTCTCTGTCCGCGTGTCCATCCGTCCGTCGACCTTCCCCTCATTTAATCCGCTAAATCAAATCAATTCGCGCAACCTTCCGGCCCCTCTAATATCCTCACCACCACCACCACCGTCATTACCACCGGCATTTCCCTCCGCTTCCTCCTCCTCCTACTGCCCATCCTCCTCCTCCCTCCCCTCCTCCTACTGCCCCTCCTCCTCCCGCCCCGCCTCCCCGCTCACAGGGGGAACACCATGAATGCGGTGAAGGCGGCGTGCACGTGCTCGGCCGCGTACAGCGCCGCCGCCTCCTCCGAGGGGATCTGCAGCCAGAGGCGGTCGCCCGCCACCAGAGGCAGGGCCACGGCTCCCGACGCGTGGTCAACCATCCCTCCTCTTCCTCCGCCGCTGCCGTTCCCTCCGCCGTTGCCGCCGTTCCCTCCGCCGTTGTTGCCTCCGCCGCCGTCACCAACCCCGTCCCCGCCGTCCGCTCCGCCGACGCCGGCAGCTCCGTCGCCGCCGCCGCCGCCATCTCCGTCGTCGTACGTGAAGAGCACCGGCTCGCCGTTGCGGAAGAGCGCCACCCAGGCGCGGCTGCCCCGCACGTGGAAGCTGTAGGAGACGTAGTAGAGGCCGCCGATGTGGCACGTGAACACGCCGCTCGCCACGTCGTAGGCGCCCTCGCCGTTGTAGAAGACCTCGTCGAAGACTATCGGACTCCCCGCCGGTGGGTACGCCTCCGACAGGCGGACGGAGAACGCCGACCGGGCCGGCTGCTGCTGCTGTGGCGGTATCTGCTGGTGCTGCTGCTGCTGCTGGTGCTGCTGCTGGTGCTGCTGCTGAGTGTGAAACTGGACCTGCATCTGCTGCTGCTGCTGTTGCTGCTGCTGCTGCTGCATCTGCTGCTGCTGCTGATCGGGGAAGGGAGCAAAGGGCAGGACGGGAACCTTGACGGCGCTCATGTAGTGGTGGTGGTGGACGTGGTGCTCCTTGACGCCCACCGTTTTCTTCGCCACCTTGGCCAGAATGGGGAACTTCATGCCGGCGGGGCCGGGCGGCGAGTCGGGAGGGCCGCGGGAGGTGGCAGGCTCCAGCCGGTAGGCCACACCGCCTCCGAGCGCCGGGCCCGGATCGGCCTCCCCGTTGAACCCCCCGCCCGGTCGGAGTGGCATCGTTCGCCCCTGGAGGTCGCCCAGGAGCTCGTGGCCGCCGGGCGGCGGCTGGTAGGTCGCGGGCGGCCCCGGGGGGCCGGGCGGCCCGGGCGGACCGGGGGCACCGACGGAGGCTCCGTCCTGCCGGCCGCACTCGCACACCCCCTGCGGTCCCTGCGGCCCCGGGGAGCCCGCGTGCCCCTTGCTTCCGGGCCACCCTTTGGGGCCGCGTTCGCCCTGGGGTCCGCCGGGGCCCGCGGGGCCCTTGGGACCCGTGAGGCCCTTGTGTCCGGCGTCCCCCTTGGGGCCCGGCCTACCGGCCTCCCCGGCGGGGCCCCGATCGCCGGGCGCGCCGTCCCCGCCCGGAGCTCCGACGGGCCCCCCGTCGCCAGGCGGTCCGGGTAGGCCCGGGGCCCCCCGTTCTCCGGTGAGGCCGTCCACCCCAGGCAACCCCGGGGGCCCGTTGAGCCCCGGCTCCCCCTTGGGCCCCACGTGGCCCTCGGGGCCCTTCAGGCCGGGCGGCCCGGACTCGCCGCGGTCGCCCTTCGCACCGGGCGGGAGCCTGCCAGGCAGGCCCGGTTTCCCCCGGAGGCCCTGACTGCCCTTCTCTCCCGGCCGCCCCGGGGTGCCGTCCCTCCCCGGGCTGCCCATCCCAGGGAGCCCTAGCGGCCCCGGCAGGCCGGGCTGCCCCGGGGGCCCGTGGTTTCCCTGCTCCCCCTTCACGCCGGGCTGGCCCTCGTGCCCCTTGGCCCCATCGACGCCGTCTCTTCCCGGGACCCCGATTCCCGGGGCCCCCTCCACGCCGGGGGGCCCCTGCAGCCCTGGCACGCCTGGGGACCCCTCCGCGCCCTCTCCCTTGTCCCCCTTGGGCCCCGGCAGGCCCTGGTGGCCCTTCGGGCCGGGGGTGCCGGCACGTCCCGGAGCTCCGTCTGGACCTTTGGGGCCGGCTACACCGGGAGGACCAACGAGACCCGGATGTCCTTGGGTCCCCAGTGAGGGGAGGCCGGGGGTCCCAGGGGCCCCTGGGGGACCCGTGGGGCCTGGAGGGCCGGCCTGGCCGACTCCTGGGAGGCCTGGGAGGCCTGGCTTTCCGGGGGGGCCTTTTAAACCCCGGGGGCCTGGCTGGAGAACGACCGGAACTTCTGTGGAGGGAGGAGAGCAGAGGGGTGGTGGTGGTGGTGTTAAGGGTTGTTGGTGGTGGTGGTGATGGTTGTGCTGCTGGTGGTGGTGATGAAAATCTTAGCTTATCCAAATGGTGATCATGGTGATGGTGGTTGTAGTGGTGGTGTTCGTGGTTGTGGTGGTGGTGATAGTGATAGTAGTGGTGATGGTGGTGATGATAGTAAAAATGCAATTTGTAACGTGCGCAAATTTGCGGACGTAACGGCCGCAACTCAGAGGCGTGGAGCCAAGCTCAGAGTCACTCGGATGCGTGGCTGTGGAGGCGATGCTGCAAATGTGCAGAGGGATGGCGTTCCAGACTGTTGGGGCAGCCACCGAGAAGCGGCGCATCGCCTTGACCGTCCTGAATCTTGGTATCAAGAGGAGGTCGTGTGAAGGCATCTTCCGTGTGCTGTGCCGGTGCTAACAGTGATAATGATAGTAGTGGTGGCGATGGTGGCGATGATAGTGGCGATAGTAGTGGTGATGGTGGTGATAGTGATAATGATGGAAGTGGTGATGGTGACAGTGGTGGTGACATTGACGACACTGTTGTTGCTGCTGATGCTGATGATGCTTCATCGCTCCCACGATGCCGCATCACCGATCGCATTCGTTCTCACCGATCCACTTGTCCTTGAGTTTACCCTTCGGTGGGAGGGCGCCCAGAGGTGGGTGGGGGCCCAGCCCGCCCACCCCCACTGCCCCCACCGCCCCTGCCCGACCCCCCCCCACCCCTGCGTATGTCGCCTGCTTCACGAACGTCTGGGGGGACCTCCCCCCCGCAACCGAGAACTGCGACTGGACGCCCGCGGACAGCACGGGACTGGAGGCGTCCGGGTAGTAGCTGGGGCTCGCGGACGCCACCAGGAAGGCGGCGATGGCGGCCAACTGGAGCGCTGCTGGCGGCGGCGGCATCGCGACCTGAGGGGCAACGACGGAGAGGTTTTGGGTCGGCGCGCGACCACCGGCGACGATGACCTGCGACTACAGAGGCAAATGCCTCACCGGTGCAACCGAGCCATGCCAAGCCAGCCATGGTGCGGATGGCTGCCACGGTGGCGAGATGTGAACTACCTCGCGTGGTATACAGGAGGTCGTGGGTTCGATCCCGAGCCTGACACCGATACATTTGTAGTTTGCGTGTCTCTCTCTCTCTCTCCCCCACGGTTATGTGGATTTGTCTCCAGGTCCTCCAGTTTTTCCCTCGGCATTTAGAATCAATGTCACACGTTTAGAGTGTTTCGCTGCTGCTATCAGTTTCCAGGAGAGAGCTGTGGATGGTTGGGCCCCGTCTAAAAATAGCAGTTTTTACCGAAAGAAAACGCATGCTGACGCCTATCTGAATGCAGAGTCACACCATAACCCCGCACAGAAATGTTCTCTTATCAAGATGCTCATTCACCGAGCTAAGAAACTGTCAGATGGTGACAGTCTGAGAAGTGAAATTCAACATGTTAAAGAAGCGCTGCAAATGAACGGTTACAATGATACACAAATCAACAAGGCATTGAATGCCAAAATCAAGTCAAATAACACGAGCGTTGAAACTGCCCAAGTAGTTAAAACAATCAAAACACCGTACATTGCGGGAGTAACTGATAAACTAGCCAGATGTTTGGAAAAACAAAACATCCGAGTCAGATTTGGTACGGTACATAAAATACAAAAATAAATATCTGGTACAAAAGATGTATTATTGATGCTATCAACACTGCACGTGTGGCAAATGTTATGTTGGGCAAACAGGACGAATGATCAGCACGAGACTAAAAGAACATCAGAAAAATATTAAATTCTCCCAAATACAACTGTCAGCAGTAGCAGAACACGCGTGCCAACAAGGACACTCAATTGATTTTAATAATGTTGAAGTTCTGTGCAAAACTAGCTACTACTGGCCAAGACTAATTAGATAATCTATCGAAATTGAAAGAAATAAAAATAATTTTAACCGTTTGGATAGCTACCGCCTTAGTGCTGCGTGGAAGCGAATCATGAACTAATAAATTGTTTAAATGCATGCCTACAAAGGGCAGCATACTTCAATAGGGATTACCGTGGGTACGGCTATTTTAATAAACACAATATACTTGAAGGACAAGATCCAAGGGCTCGCATAATGTGCATGCATAATGTGTACATTGATTCAGTAACCCACTTTGCGTAATAGCGCAGAAGCGTGATCACCACATCTACGCCTCTATATAAGGAACGAAACAGGTGGACTTCTCCACAAATTTGTCACCTGACGAAACTACCTGTAATTACTGGCGAAACGTCGTACTCAGATTGTAAATGTTGTGGCTTGGCTCTCCAACAAACCGGTGTGCTGTACTAGAATACACTATACAATACACTATACACTACTATACAATACACTATACACTACACTACTATACACTACTATACACTACACTACTATACACTACACTACTATACAATACACTATACACTACACCACTATACACTACACTACTATATACACTATACACTACACTATACACTACACTATACACTACACTATACACTACTATACACTACACTACTATACACTACACTACTATACAATACACTATACACTACACTACTATACACTACTATATACACTACACTATACACTACACTATACACTACACTATACACTACTATACACTACACTACTATACACTACACTATACAAGACACTATACACTACACTACTATACACTACACTACTATACACTACACTACTATACACTACACTACTATACACTACACTATACACTACACTATACACTACTATACACTACACTACTATACACGACACTACTATACACTACACTACTATACACTACACTACTATACACTACACTACTATACACTACACTACTATACACTACTATACACTACACTATACACGACACTATACACTACAATATACACTAGTGCTGTACTAGTGACGAATTGACACGTTCTGTTTACGTGACAACCCTTACTAGTTGGCTGTGTCGGGTGGTGGCGGGTTTTAACGACACATTTAGATATTTACGTGATCTAACCCAAAAAAACCTTTATTATGGATGATATTGTTCGCGAAAGCCTACTTGTTAAACCCTCTATGATTAATTTATATGATTTGAGCCGTAATATTTTCTCTGGCATCGTACGAGTATGTTTATTTTTACCATGTTATGTACTGTATGTATTTTGAACTTCTTTCGCACCGTACGTTGCAGTGCCCTTGAACTTTGTGATGTGGAAGGCGCTCTGTAGATAAGGATTGTTAAAAAAATCGATAAATGATATCATTAACCTTACGTGCAACGTTAGACTCTGCGCAATACCTGTTAGTGTATGGGCAGCGTTGAGTCTATGGGCAGTGTTAGTCTACGGGTAGTGTTGAGTCTATGGGCAGTGCTGAATCTGGGCAGTGTTGAGTCAATGGGTAGTGCTGAGTCTATGGTACAGTGTTGATTCTACGGGCAGTGTTGAGTCTATGGGCAGTGTTGAGTCTACGGGTAGTGTTGAGTCTATGGGCAGTGCTGAATCTGGGCAGTGTTGAGTCAATGGGCAGTGCTGAGTCTATGGTACAGTGTTGATTCTACGGGCAGTGTTGAGTCTATGGACAATGTTAGTCTATGTGTAATGCTAGTCTATGTGTATAGGCAATGTTGAGTGTATGGGCAGTGTTGAGGCTATGGGTGGCAGTATTGAGTCTATGGGCAGTGTTGAGTCAATGGGCATTGTTGAGCCAATAGGCAGTGTTGAGTCGATGGGCAGTGTTGAGTGTATGGGCAGTGTTGAGGCTATGGGTGGGAGTATTGAGTCGATGGGCAGTGTTGAGTCTATGGGCAGTGCTGAGTCTACAGGCAGTGTTGAGTCTATGGGCAGTGTTGAGTCTATGGGCAGTGCTAAGTCTACAGGCAGTATTGAGTCTTTGGGCAGTGCTGCGTCTATGGGCAGTGTTGAGTCCATGGGCAGTCCTGAGTCTATGGGCAGTGTTGAGTCTATGGGCAGTGTTGAGTCTGGGCAGTGTTGAGTCTACGGGTAGTGTTGAGTCTATGGGCAGTGTTGAGTCTGGGCAGTGTTGAGTCTACGGGTAGTGTTGAGTCTATGGGCAGTGCTGAGTCTACAGGCAGTGTTGAGTCTTTGGGCAGTGCTGAGTCTATGGGCAGTGTTGAGTTGTTGAGTTCATGGGCAGTGCTGAGTCTATGGACAGTGTTGAGTCTATGGGCAGTGTTGAGTCTATGGGCAGTGCTGAATCTGGGCAGTGTTGAGTCAATGGGTAGTGCTGAGTCTATGGTACAGTGTTGATTCTACGGGCAGTGTTGAGTCTATGGGCAGTGTTGAGTCTACGGGTAGTGTTGAGTCTATGGGCAGTGCTGAATCTGGGCAGTGTTGAGTCAATGGGCAGTGCTGAGTCTATGGTACAGTGTTGATTCTACGGGCAGTGTTGAGTCTATGGACAATGTTAGTCTATGTGTAATGCTAGTCTATGTGTATAGGCAATGTTGAGTGTATGGGCAGTGTTGAGGCTATGGGTGGCAGTATTGAGTCTATGGGCAGTGTTGAGTCAATGGGCAGTGTTGAGCCAATAGGCAGTGTTGAGTCGATGGGCAGTGTTGAGTGTATGGGCAGTGTTGAGTGTATGGGCAGTGTTGAGGCTATGGGTGGGAGTATTGAGTCTATGGGCAGTGTTGAGTCGATGGGCAGTGTTGAGGCTATGGGTGGGAGTATTGAGTCTATGGGCAGTGTTGAGTCGATGGGCAGTGTTGAGTGTATGGGCAGTGTTGAGGCTATGGGTGGGAGTATTGAGTCGATGGGCAGTGTTGAGTCTATGGGCAGTGCTGAGTCTACAGGCAGTGTTGAGTCTATGGGCAGTGTTGAGTCTATGGGCAGTGCTAAGTCTACAGGCAGTATTGAGTCTTTGGGTAGTGCTGAGTCTATGGGCAGTGTTGAGTCCATGGGCAGTCCTGAGTCTATGGGCAGTGTTGAGTCTATGGGCAGTGTTGAGTCTACGGGTAGTGTTGAGTCTATGGGCAGTGCTGAGTCTACAGGCAGTGTTGAGTCTTTGGGCAGTGCTGAGTCTATGGGCAGTGTTGAGTTGTTGAGTTCATGGGCAGTGCTGAGTCTATGGACAGTGTTGAGTCTATGGGCAGTGTTGAGTCTATGGGCAGTGTTGAGTCTATGGGCAGTGCTGAGTCTATGAGTGGCAGTGTTAAGTCAATGGGTTGCAGTGTTGAGTCTATGGGTGGCAGTGTTGAGTCTACGGCAGTGTTGAGTCTATGGGTGGCAGTGTTGAGTCTATGGGCAGTGTTGAGTCTATGGGCAGTGTTGAGTCTATGGGCAGTGTTGAGTCTATGGGCAGTGTTGAGTCTATGGGCAGTGTTGAGTCTATGGGCAGTGCTGAGTCTATGGGCAGTGTTGAATCTATGGGCAGTGTTGAGTCTATGGCAGTGTCCAGTCTATGGGCAGTGTTGAGTCTATGGGCAGTGTTGAGTCTATAGGTGGCAGTGTTGAGTCTACGGGTAGCAGTTTTGAGTCTATGGGTGGCAGTGTTGAGTCCACGGGCAGTGTTGAGTCTATGGCAGTGTTGAGTCTATGGGCAGTGTTGAGTCTATGGGGAGTGCTGAGTCTACAGGCAGTGTTGAGTCTTTGGGCAGTGCTGAGTCTATGGGCAGTGTTGATTCTACGGGCAGTGTTGAGTCTATGGACAATGTGAGTCGATGTTTAATGCTAGTCTATGTGTATAGGCAATGTTGAGTGTATGGGCAGTGTTGAGGCTATGGGTGGCAGTATTGAGTCTACGGGCAGTGTTGAGTCAATGGGCAGTGTTGAGTCTATGGGCAGTGTTGAGTCTATGGGCAGTGTTGAGTCTACGGGTGGCAGTGTTGAGTCAATGGGTGGCAGTGTTGAGTCTACGGGCAGTGTTGATTCTACAGGAAGTGTTGAGTCAATGGGTGGCAGTGTTAAGTCTATGGGTAGCAGTGTTGAGTCTATGGGTTGCGGTGTTGAGGTTACGGGCAGTGTTGAGTCTATGGC